AATGCTTACACATTCCAATGGAAATGCTTAAAGTGTGGTATTTAGTAACTGTTAATTAACGATTATTTGGAGACAATGAGATGATGTTTTTTTTTTCGATTTCATGTGTGAATTGCGTGGGTGAAAGCTGTTAAATGTTCCTTCCCCACCCCTTCAAAATCCAACGTATATCAACATAAAACATCAATATTTCCCTGGCACTCTCAACACGACAATAATGACACATCTATACAGAAAACAAACACTTTGAGTGAGTCTAAACTTTTTATCAATGTATAAATTCATTTTTTCATATCCTACATGTATTTGTATAATTTAAACAATATTTATAAATCTCAGGCCCTGAAGATGATCTCAATAAAGATCGAAACGTTCGCTCTATAAAGAACATGTTTTTTTAAACCTACGTCACACCAGACCTCAACACATGATGTCCAAATAGTCGGTAATGATTAATTTAACTCCATTGTTAATTAATGTCAACTATGCTTACGTTGATGACAAATTTTGGGTTATAACTGTCCCTGTTGTCACCATTCATGTCATGTTGTACCATTAAACTTCACAATACACTGGTGCCACCTTCTATTGTGTAATATTATTTTCTTATTACTTCATTATTTTACAACTGTTGTAATTAACAAAGTGTAGGGCAAAAGGTGTCGTACATGTCGAAATGTTGAAAAGTAGGCTAAAAAGAAATTTTCCGCAAGAAACAAAGCTGACTTTATTTCCGCACACACAAAAATAAACTTTTTTTAGGAAAATCAAAAAATTAACTTCTCATGCGGTTCTAACATTGAAACCAGACTGACGAGGGGAGGCGGTGCCACCGAAATCGATATCGAGATAATAAAAAGATATTTTGAAATGGTTGTAAGTTCCTGAAAAACCACCTAAAAAGATCTTTAAAAGATTAATTTTTCTATCTAGATTTTTGCTTTCCAAATGCTTTCAATTTTTTTCTGGACTATCAAAAAAAGGGGAGAATTTCGAATCGACTCGAACGATCAACAGGAAATTGCAAGAATTCACAACATTTTTCTTCAGAAAATTTCTCTTAACATGTTAAAAGCGTGCAAAATAAAATATTTGAGGGTTTTTTGGTGATTTCGTTCAAATTTTTTTCTCAATGGCATATATGTTGTTGACATAAGCTTAATGAAAACGTATAGAACTTTCCAACGGCTGTAATCACGTTGAATGTTGATAAAATACAGGGGGTTGTGAATTTTTAAGAGGAACACAAGACATTGAAAGAAAATCGAATTTAAGAGTTTTTCGGAACAAAGAGAAAAAAGAGAGAAATTTAAATATATTTTTTATTTAATTTGTCGCCCTTTAGAATTATGTAACAACCCTCGGACAAATCCCTAATATTTTTCGATTTAGTATCACCAAAAAAGTTTAATTAACATCGGCGATTTCACCATTTACCATAAACTATGGTTACGATGAATATTAGTTCTTTTACAAAACAATGTTAACCATGGTTTATCATGAACATGGGACAGTTGTTTATTTGTTAGACCTTTTCTCGTTTCCAGACCATAAAGAAGATAATTTCGTTAAAGTAAAAAGTATTAATTAACTTTTGTTTTACAAATGCGTCGTTTGTCTATTTTGTTTGTAATTGGCAGGTTTTACCATAATCGGTGCACACAGGAATAACGATGAGAGAAACAGGTAATTACCATATTAATGAAACAACAATTCGAATCCAGCATTCATGCATTTAAACCCGTGAGCGATAGAGAAATATATATANACAATAAGCCAGAAGGCTGCAGTGCCTGGGGAATACAAGCCCCGCTTCCCGGCATCCCTTCCACCATACCATATGCATTCGAATTAAATTGGAATACATTTCTCGAATATTTAAATGGGCAAAATTGGCAGGAACGTATACTAATTTTTTAGAAATTATGCAATATATGCATTAAAATATAGAAATCAATTGACACAAGAATTTAATTATTAAATTAATATATTTAACCATTTATTTATTCATCTGTTTATTTTTTATTCTCGTGTTTTACTATTTGAATCTCTAACTCGTTAATGTTGTGTGAGATTTTTAATGGTATTCAAAGTCTATTTATTTTGGGACTGTTAAATTGAGTGCTATTCACAATATTTATATATTTATTGGGGCGTCGGTGGCAGCAACCGTTTAGAGGTTGACACGGTGCTCATCACTGTAAGGTAAAGGTACCGGGTTCGAATCCAGCGGTCCTGCATTCGAACCCGACATACTTTTTTTTTTAAATACTGGTTTATATGACCTCTGCTGTTGCGAACTCTCTAAAAAATATATATATATATATTTATTAATAGTTCTTATGTACTATAAAAGGCTATGGACAGATATTAAACTAATTTATTTGTTACATTTTGAGAAAGAGTTTATATAAGTACGCTTGTTTATTGTATTGTTATTTTTTCTGTAGTCGATTTAATATATGATTATGCCTCTTATATATATTATATACAAATTATGCGTGCCAACTTCCGCGGACAGATCATATTTCAAATGTGTATATGCTTTTGGTACACTTTTTGTACAGTTCATATTTGTGTGATGTTATTTTGAGGAAAANCGACAACAATATTCAACTTTTCATATATAAAAGGCATAGTTTTTGTTTAGCGAAAATTATGTATGTTCGTTTACATGTTCTAGTCTTTTCTTTTTTCTCAACAGCATTTCCTAGTCTGTTTACGACTTTTTAATTGAGAGAAGTTCCTTTTAAATGAACAAAACTCTTAATGAAAAGAGAAACATCTTAAAGATTTTATATAGTTACTCCTATCAGATGTGGCGTACTGCTAAATTAATCTCAAGCTGATTATTAAACAAGCGATTAATTACATGATATGTGAGTATTTGAGTTCTTTGTTGTAAAGGCGAAGAAGGACACTGACAGTAATAATTATTCGATTCCAAGTAAATCCCAGCCTCATCTCGACAAAAAATCAATAGTATTGTTACCAGGATCGCCTTTCAGTTTTAATAAGAAACAATGTTTTAATAAACATTTCAGTTTTATTGCCAGGAAAACGGCCGCCAGTTGTCTTGCTGTGAAAAATCCAATTTATAAATAAACAGAGTAGCGTAGGTGCCCTTTAATTAGAAAGAAAAATATAAACAAAGGGCCGAGCAAAAAGACTTAAACAAATTTACACTCGGAGGATGAACCAGCTTTCATTTCGACCTCGAAAAGCGTTCATCCGGCCTTTGTATGCTTTCAATTTGATATTTAACTTTTATATCCATTCAGGAACCATTTTTATGTTGGTGAGCAATTTTGTATGTGATGTGCAATTGAAAAACGCAACGTTGACGAATTTTAAAATAATACGAGAAGTTAACAGTACTCGTAGGCGGGTTGAATTGAACGTGGGCGGCCGAAAGGAAGGAATTGAAAATGAGGCAAAAAGAGTTTGGAAAAAACATTAAATTCGAAGTATAATGAAATTTAGTGAAGTAGGTTCGTATTTACTACTAGTTCTATTACCCGGTGACTAAATAGAATATTAAATGAAAGAAATTAAACTATTTAAAAATATAACAAAAAATGCGGAGAAAAGGAAAATGAAAAAATTACTTTCCCTAAGGAGAAACGCTTTTCTCGCCTTTACGACAATTTTCACCTGCAGAATTGCACCCGTCTCCGATCCAAGAATCCTTAGAAGCCTTAGAATGTTAATGAGGACAATGCCGTGGGCACCTTTGCTGTAAAACGACAGCACTTCTCGGGAGGCAATTTTTTCGAAGTGTAAATAAAAACTGACTACTCATTTGAGAGGAGAAAAACGACCACACCAGTTAAAATATTTCGAGGAAACAACAACAACTAAAATTTTTTTTTTCTTCGAAGTCAATATGCATCAATAATATTACACTAACCTAGTACAATCGGAGCACTTTTCTCAATTCTGATAGTCAAGCTTAGGGTCTCGGGACGGTCATGCTCCAGACCATTTATCCATACACCACTGTTGTCTACATCAGTCTATCTCTACATCAGCGAGGCAGATTCAGTAGTTTTTTTTCGATTATAGACTTTTAGCATTGTTTTTGCGTCGATTGAGTGAGTTTATTGAGAGAGAATCGGAATTCGAACGTCGCGGGAAGCGTGTAATTATACAGAAAGCCGAAGTTGCCTGACTGGAAAGAAATCCAAGGATGCCACAAATTCTTGGCATATATTGATTTAAATTTTGTCGTCCCTTATTTTTAATGTGCATTTTTATCGTTTCTAAACACTCCCGGAACTAATAAGAATAAACTATGAAATATCCGAACGAACATTGGATTTTAAGTATATAATTTTTTTTCTTTTTCCCCCCGGGGGCTTCCAACAATAAAGTCATTTCAGCTCCCTCTCCCTGCAGTGTTATGGCCGATGGGTACTCAATATTCCGCCATCGGCCCTACAGTCTAAAAGATCACCCACTTACAACAAATAAATAAATTACTAACAAATAAATACACGACACAATAAAACAACACAGATACACTTATTTACACAGATATTCACGTTTTATACACTATTTACAAGTGAGGAAACACCCCCGTTTCTCTTAAAAAGGGAATAGGGGATCCAACATTTTACTTGCTCGTCCGAGTACCGTTTTTATGTCGGGGTTCATGCCTACTCGCTCCCTGTAGGGGGCCAAGGCATGGCACTCCTCGACAAGATGAGTCACACTGAGCAACCTTTCTCTACAAGCGGGACACCTGCGCGGGTTTTGACCCAGAAGTAGATGTCCGTGTGTCAGACGGGTATAATTCTTGTAATTGCGTTCTAAGATAATGCATTTGCAATTGGTATATTTATAAACGAAAATTTTTACATGTGGTCTTTGAAATTTTGGGAAACGTGCGATTTTTTCGGTTTAATTTATATTTCGCTTCAAATTGTCCCCTTTATTGACATTTATAAAGTTGTTTGTGTGTGTATTTTTGTAGAATGAATTTATAAAAATGTGCTTACCTAGCATTTTAAGCACCCTCTGGGAGGACTGGCGGTGGGCCCCGCCGCCCTTTCTGCCTGACTCGGTCCTGCCGAAAGACCCTGAGTTCCTGGTCAGTAGGGCTGATTTCCTCAGCCGAAGGCCAATGAGGGCGTACAGGACTGTGATGAGAGTCATCGGCACGACGAAAAACAGCAATGTCGACAGCTCGAACGAATGTTTGATCAGCACCCTTTTGACGAAACATGTCGCACCGTGAGGATATTCGTCGCTCACACCGAACTGCAACGCCTGCAACCAAGAAATAAAGGCAGTAAGTCAACCATTGGGTATAGTGAACCGACCCGAGGAGCGCAAACTTGCTAAACTTTTGCAAACCGAATTACCAAAATTTATTTTTCGATTTGTCGTTTGTTTTATTATATTAGAAAAAGTGGTCAGCTAATCGAGTTAAGTGTGAGAACGTTCAGATATTTTATAGAGCAAATGTGACATTTTGGTATTAATCCCAAATGACACTAGCACAGCCTGGCGTCTGCTAAATGGTGAGCTAGTTTGCTACTTAGTTAATTTTATGTGAACATTTAATGGAAGTATCTAATAGAAATGTTTAAAAAAATATAGAAAGGAAATCTAATGATATATTAAGGAAGAAAAGATCAATAAGGTGGTTCAATCTAATCACAAATGACACTAGCACAGCCTGGCGTCTGCTAAGTGGTGAGCTAGTTTGCTACATAGTTAATTTTATGTGAACATTTATTGGAAGTATCTAATAGAAATGTTTAAAAAAATATAGAAAGGAAATCTAATGATATATTAAGGAAGGAAAGATCAATAAGGTGGTTCAATATAATCCCAAATGACACTAGCACAGTCTGGCATTTCCTCACTGGTGTATCTGTGTGCTAGTTAATTAGTAGACCATTATAATTTTATGCGTTCGTTTAACAGAAATTCATGATGGAAGTATTAAAAAAATATATGAAGAAAGAAAAATTATATACTAAGGAATGAATGGTCAATGAGATGGTCCAATACATATAAAATGAAATTTCATCAAAAGATTTTCATCAAGATTTGTAAAAACATAAATCTTTAATTCTAACTTTTTATATGTAATTTACATTTAAGATTTAATCGTTATAAATCATGAACAAAAACTGTACACAAGTAATGGAAATCCTATAATCACATCTTTTAGTAGATGAAAAATCCCGAAAAGTGGTTCAAAATTGGTTAGTTAATAGCATTATTACAATTAAAACAAACCACAACCATTGCGTGAATATGTTTTAGAAAATGTTTGTCAATGGTGTTCGTTGGCAAAGCACTTACCACGAGAAAATAAATTAGGAAATGAAAATAAATAAAATCCTGATCTAAGTTTTATTAGGTTTTCACGAAAAATGGTAAAAAGGAGAGAATCAACTGATGTTAAGAGAATGGACACTGTGATTTTATCCTAAGAAGAATAAAACAGACATCAAGAAATATTAAGTGCTTCGGTTGAGTTGAACAAACCACTTTTAAAAGGCATAAACTTTTTATGAAGTTTTCGTCTGAATTATAAGTTGCAATATAAACGTAAACACAAAATTAGTTAAAATTGGGAAGAAATAAAACTTTGAACAGAGAAATATCCTCTAAAACCCACTAAGGTGTTTTAAGTAAATTGAATGAAAAAGAAGTAATTTTGAAATATTTCCATAATATATTAATAGTTATTTACTTAACTCAAGAGTGTCAATGTTAAGGATTAATTAAATTGAACAAATTAATTCTTGGTACCGCGTTCGTAAAAGAAATTGGAGTACTAGAGGTTTAAAACCATCTGTCAATCCTTATCAGTGCTATGCTGGTATCGATGACTCACCTGGGGTATAGCGAACGCTAAGGCGATGATCCATATGGCCAGGATGAACTTTATCGCCCTGGACAATTTTGACATTGTATGTGCTAGAAAAGGGTGGCAAATGGCCACGTATCTCTCGACAGTGAAGGCGGTGATTGTCAGGACGGTCGCATTCGCTGAAGTCTCCGCCGCCAGGCCTCTTAGAAGACAAAAAGCCTCGCCGAAGACGTAAGGATACCTGAAAAAATATTTATAGTTGAAATATTGATCATGTATGGCCAGAAAAAATGTCAAAAATGTTCAAGGTAATAACCATTATCAAAATTGAAAAATACACTGACAGGCAAAAAATTCTGCTGTTAATTTGTCTCATTGTTTTTACCAATAAATATTTGTTTATGCTATGTTTTAAAGTTGAGATATCAATTAAATATAGATAAATGCCCTTAATCCTTTATCCAAAACAAGGATAGAGGATTTTTCAATGTTTAGTTCTTACAGAACTCGTTTATTCAGACTCATTCTAACCTGAAGCAATAAACTGTTTTGTTTTCAGCTGTGTTTTCTTAATTTCAATTTCTAAACTTAAAAATGCCACTTAATGTGAGGATGTTGAGCGTGGTGAGGCACTTATTGATTATGGACGTTCCATCAGGTATGCGGCTATTACCGTTTTAGACGTTTTCGGGGAAACTGGGTCCATAGAAGGCCCGGTTCTGGACGCCCTAGGGTAACAGAACAACAGAGTGACCGGTTTTTGACTTTGAGAATTTTGCAAAACCGGCACCTTACTGTTGTTCAAGTGATTCATCAGCTGCAAGAAGTTCCAGGTGTCCAAATTTCTGAACGCAATGCTAAAAGAAGATTAAATCAGTATGGACTGTTTGCTTTTCGCTACGTAAGAGGACAAGAATTGACCAGAACACACAGAGTTGTACGCCTCGCATTTGCTCGAGAACACAGTCATTGATTGGACGATTGGTCTGCTTTACTTTTCACAGTTGAGTAAAGATTTGCTTTACGATCTCCAGATGGGCGGGAAAGTGGAGAAGGCGAAATGAAAGGTACGAAGCATGTAATTTTTCCCAGAGCCAACCTTTTCAACGTAGCTCAGTGAAGGTGTGAGCGGGAATTTCAATGTCCTCCGCACAGAGTGGAGAGTCTTTTGAACACACTAGCTATGTGGATGAAATTTTGGAATATATGCGTTGCCTATCCTCGATGAAATCAGTTACAATCCTATTCTAATGCACGATAATACCCGTCCACATGTCTCTCGCATAGTAGAGACAACAGCATCATATCAGGGTCGGCCAGTCAGTTCTCCAGACTTTAATCCCATCGAACGTTTCTGGGATAACCTCAAGAAAGAAATAAGAGCACGTCCATCACTTCCTGATATAATCCCCGATTTTGAAAGGACTCTTCGTGAAGAATGGGCTAACCTCCAGCAAAGAGACATTTTCAGACTGGTAGAAAGTATGCCGAGTCGTCTTGCGTATGTAATTAAGACAAGAGAAGGAAATATGTGATATGTTAATTATTATATTTTATTACTTTTTATATTTTTCTTAGTAATTTTTAGACAAAGACTCAATTGTTTTTTAAGAGGGTTCGCAACAGCAGAGGCCATATAAACCCTCAGGGTGCCGGTGTTTTTTTTTTAAAAGCCCATTTGTAAATATGTCGGGTTGGAATGCAGAGCCGCTGGATTCGAACCCCGGACCTTTACCGCGACCTTTTAGTGATGATCGCCGTGTCAACGCCGTTGCGGCCACCGACTCAATTATTAAACGTTAAACAATGTGAAACTTTGATTAATACATAAAAATATATATAAATCAAGTTATATTACAAGTGGGTGGAATTTTTTTGCCTGTCAGTGAATATATAAAACAAGCACTCTCCCGCTTGATTTAGGTCAGGTTGGACGTTGGAAAGTAATTAAAGCTGAAATTGTCTTGAAAATTCACTCCCCTTTCTTGTTCGCGTATAGTTTTCAATACTTTCATCCATATTCTTCTAAACTCGATGACGTCACTTTTTAAAAGTTATATCTTTGTAATTTTAATCAATCAATCCGAAATACTTTCTTTCTCACTCTCTCAACATCTATTTATCTCTCTCTCCTAATTTAACATATTGGTTTTCGTTTCTTTTTCTTGAATTTCTTTCTCTTTCCATTTTTCCGTCCTACACTTCTTAACGTGTTTAACATTACATTCCTATTCTTTCACTCTTGCTCTTCCTCCCTCTTTTTTCCTGGTCACGTAACCCTGTAGTCAGAGAGTTTATTCATAAAAGTGCCCCCAATTTGATTGCACTTATTTAAAATAATTATCCATATAATTGTATATTACGTGTAGTATTTAGTGACTGTTAACTAATGATTATTTGAAGATCGTGAGATGCGGTTTGGTGTGACGTAGGTTTTAGAAAAACATTTTCTTTATCGTGCCCACGTTTCGATCTTTATTGCGATCGTCTTCAGGGCCTGGGATTATTAAACATGGTTTAAATTATACAAATACATATAAGATATGAATATGAATTTATACAATGATGTACACAATATAGAAATTTCAGGTTTAATCAGAATATTTGTAATCACTCAAAGTGTAAGTTTTCTGTGTAGATGTGTCATTATTGTGTATCGTGTTGAGAGTATTGTTGAGATATTAATGTTTTTTGATTATATATGTCTGATTATGGAAGAAAGAGGTAGGGATAGAAATTCATTTTTCTATGAGGACTCGGCTTCTTTTAGGTGAAAGGGGGCCGACAATGGGAAAAAATGGTTTGTCGTTCGGGCTTAGTTATTTTTTCAGGATTATTATAGACGGGATTGTTAGGGAAAGGAAGGATAAATTGTTGGGGATTTAAAGTATGTAGAAATTGCTTGATGATGGCCAGACCTCATCTCACGATTTCTGAATTATCAACGACTAACAGTCACCACACATTGTTTTATATATTGCATTATATGTTTTGTGCGTTATTGATATTGAATTTGATTTATGATATTAGCATAACTGTCTGTGTCTGTTCTGTACTTGATGCTGTGCTTATCTCTGTTGATGTAAACCATTTCTTTTTGATTTGTTCTATGTTTAATATTTGAATTGTTGAAATGGAAATTGTGTTGGTGTTCAAAATGGTTGGTAGGCAGTGCTGTAGGATTTCGTTTAGGCTTTTTGCAATTATAGATATGTTGTGTTACCTTCTTATCCATACATCGGAATTACATCCCAATATCAATAGAGACGATCCTAGATGAACATTTTCAGCTTGTATTTGCGCCACAATTTAAACTGTGTACAGGTATAATATCCATTTCTTTATGTAAACTTTAATCCCACTCGGCCCTAGTAGGAGCTGATGGATAGAATATTAAGTTATTATCGAAGACCGGATTTTTATGCAGTAAAAATTGCCAAAATATGCCATAAAATATGCAGTTGAAAGCCCTGAAATATGTAATAATATGCGGTATTAATACGTTGAAATATGGAATGGTATGCAGTAAACCAGTTTAAACAGAAATATAGATAATTAAACGAAATAGATATTATAACCATTTAAAACAAAACTAATTAAAATTCACAAGTATTTAGTGGTTTTTCTTTTTTAAGGAGATTATTTCAACTACGAGGTTACCTGAATCCTCGGAGTGACGGTGTTTTTGAAAAACGGTCATTTGTAAGTATGTCGGGTTCGAATGTAGAGCCGCTGGATTCGATCCCGGGACCTTTACTTTACACTGATGAACGCCGTGTCAACCGTTGCGGCCACCGATGCCCCGTAGTCTTTCATTTAACAAAGTATTTTTTCACTTACACAATTAAATTATATATTTTATACAAGATTAAGAAGGGGTTTTATATTCTTTTGTCGGTATTTCGAGAATCTTCCCTTCCCGTTGTTGAGGACTATTTCAGTTTTCTTCCAATTAAATCAACTTTTCGTCAACTTGTTATTTTTTATGCTTCTCCCGAAAACAAGTATAATATTTTAAATATTTTGAGCAATAGATGCAATTTTACGTAAGAATCCTTCAAACATGCGATATTGTCGTAATATGCAATTTTATGCGATATTCATCAAATGTGCAAAAATATGCTCTATAAAATTTGACCTACAGCTTCGTAGATACGTGATTCGGATAGATGATTGATTTCCTCGGTCATATGTGATGGCAAACAATATATGCAACTGCATAGAAATCCGGTCTCTATGTTTATTGTAAATTCCATATTTTAAATTATATGTCAAATCTAATATAATTTTTCTATCTAAATTTAAACAAACGATCTATGCTTTAATCTTACATTTGCAAGATGATTTGTGCTTCTTAAGTATTGATAAAGAGGGCGTCGATGGCCGCAACGGTTTAGGCGTTGACACGGCGCTTAACACTGTAAGGTAACCAGCGGCCCAGCATTCAAACACGACATACTCACAAGTATACACCCCGAGGGTTCATAGAATATAGTAGTTGAAATAACTTCGTAGAAAAACATAATCAACTAAGTATTTATAAGAGTAACAGAGATTTTTACAAACATCCATTCTATACAGGGAGGAGTATTTAGTGTTTTATTAAATTCACCATATATGCTTAAATAATATTGTTACGGAAATAACCGTATAAAATAACCGATGATGTGTCCTTTTACGGATTTGAAGGTTATCATCTAAAAACAAGACGACATACCTCGGTGCCTTCGTTGTTCAAGGCGGTTCCTCTGTCCTTTTAAAAGTTAACAGCGTTATTATAAAAAGGTAGATGATTTGTCAATAAGGTTGACTTATGCAACAAATAAATTGTGACAATTTTGCTGTTAATGTAGAAACTATAAAACTTTCATATTGTTTAAATTGCAAAACAAGGAGTAGAACGTAAAACGGTTGGTTAACTAGTATCGGAATAAAGCAGAATCCTGTGAACATAGACTGGTACAAGTACTTAACAGCCAAATGGAGAATATAAGCGGATTAGTTAGAATTGTACGTCCACATTGTTGCTGGGCTTGAAAATTTTGAATATTCTCCATAGCCATTCAAATAGTTTCAGTGTTACTGTTATTCTTAATTTTTTAATCGGCTTAATTCAAGCGGTATTTCTCTACATTAGGAGGAACAGGATAATAAAAGTTTGTGACAATAATCAAATTGGAACGAAACAACAATTTAATTCAAGTCACGATAGCTCAAGTGGTAGAGCAGCGGCGTATTTAG